TCCTGGGCAAACAGGGAGTCTGATTTTAAAACTGCCATGTGGCAGAAAATGCTCTGTGAAAGCCCTGTATTTACAGCCAGATTTGTTTATTTAATAAATTAAAGCTTAATAAGTAGGTTTAATTTGACTTCTAGAAAGTTTGTCAAACTTGAGACACTACACCTCTTTCCAAGAACATGGAGAGGATTGTTTAATGAGCCTGTGGCACTCCCTAAAACGTGAGAATGAAGCAGGCTACATTTGAAGACAAACAGAGTGTGTATGAACTGAGATTTGGGAGTATTACCTTGAGCCTAAGAAGATTAAGGTTCATCACAAGAAAATGTGTTTAAACTCAGTGAGAGAGTGAGAGAGTAGGCTACCTTGTAGTTCTCAAAGGCCTCTGTGATGGGGATGACATTGTGGGTCTTGTGGTCCCGGGACATGCCGCACACCAGACAAATGGGCAGCTGGTCGTCCTCACAGTAAAGCTTCAGCCTCTCCTCATGCTCCTCGCACATATCCATACCCATACCCAGGCGCGGCCAGTGCCCGATGGAAGAGGCCACGCTGCTCATACTGGACCCCGGCTCCCGATCCTCCGGCTCCTCCGGCGCACCCTCCGGGTCCCACCCGATTGTCCCCGCGGCCGTGTCCATGGTCCGGGCTCTGCGCACACTGTCCACGACGTTGCACAGAAGCGAGTTGGGTCTGAGCTTACGGCCGCACGACTTTCTACACTTCGGGCAACTCGACAACTCGTCCGCCTTGGCTTCCCAGCACTGGATGATGCACACCTGGCAGAAGTGGTGTCCGCACTCGAGGATCACCGGATCACGGAACAGCTCCAAACACACCGGACAGGTGAGCTCCGACTGCAGTTCCTCAAGAGCGTTGGCCTCCGCCATTCTCGGCTGCGCACATAGTCCTCGATAAAAACACGTCTGATGGCAACACTGTAACGAGTGGAGACTAGACTTGCTCTTCCGTTCACACTGAGAGAGGGAGTGGTCTGAAACGGACAGCGCAACCGAATGTTTTCACGGAAGAGACGGAGGGCGTGCAGCAACAGGCTCTGCGCGCCGTGCAGCCGATGGAGCTGCTCCATTACAGGGCGTACGGGTCTTATTAGTCCCGAGACAAACAACTTTATTTAGAAAAACCATAACCAAAAAAACACTCAAATGTTACTTGATTAAGATAACAATGTTAGGCCTATCTCATAGAGTTTCATTACTGAGCTATAGGCATGTACAGGAAATGTAGACTCTGTTGGTTTACTAATGCTTTGGTGTTCAAACAGGGGCCCGGGGACCAACAGGGGTCCTTGAGTGGGTTGTAGGGGTGGCACAAGTGTGGCACTGATGTATGCAAGGGGTGGCATGAAGTGTGTGTATCAGCTTTCCAGTTATTCCTAATTTATGCGATGCCAATACTGTTTAGGGACCCCAGTATGCAGAAATATTCAAATACAATAGGCACATTTATACCACATGCATGGTTTTTGCCCAAAACTGCATGGCATTGGAAAAAATAAAGTGGGGAAAAACTTAAAGGAGATACTTACGTTTAACCATAGATCCAATTTTCATTCAGATGTATTGAGGTTAAAGGTCAAGTGAAGGGATCCCTTTGAAAAGGGCCATGCCAGTTTTTCCATCCTCACATGTCCTAACATGCCAACGGTACCAATATATGGCTACAGCCTCTGAAAGACAATGTGGAGTGGAAGAGGTAAGGATAATGGGGTGGCACTTGGAGTGGCCAATCAGATTTCAGCATGGCCAGTTGAGAAAGGGGAAATGAAAGAGAAATCAAAATGAAATTGTGGCTTTTTCTTTTTAAATTATTTAAACCAGAGGAAAACAGGGTTTCACCGGCTGTTCCTACACTGAAACTTAGTTGCAGACATGTTTACTAAGTGCTAAAGAACAAACTAGGTATTTACATAGAGATTACAATTAGTAGTAAATATTTACATATAACTGGTTATTGTCAGGTGTACACTAGCTTAACTGTTGCATAACTGACTGAACCAACTTGTATGCGCTTATGTTTATGTTGAAGAGTTATTACTAATAACACATAACATGTTTAATACTGATGTAAACGTGGAAGATTTTAAATTACATTTACAAAAATAAAAGCAGTAAAACCAATGACATTCCACAAACTGATGCAATTAGGCTTAAAAGAGGCTAACTGGTGTAGGCCCACTCATATTTTTCATCATGTACCCATAATTAATGGTAATACCTGACCACATAAACAATTAGGTTAGTTTATAATTCCCCTTGAACCATTATTTTTTGGAAGTTATTATGCTAATGTAAGTTGATTGCCTACAGATGTTTCTTAGCTAGCAGCCATTTTACACATTATTAAATAATTTATTTTAATCATTAGGTTACATGGGATTTAAATAAATGTTGATTTCTATTGTATGGTGTTTTTATATGTCTACTAATGTCTGGTGCCTTATTTGTTTTTATTGTGAAGCACTTTGTGACTAGGTGTATGTGTACTATATAGATAAACGTATTTACTTACTTTAGTTGTGCAACCTGATTACTTACCAGTTTGAAGTTATTAAAACCTCAGTATGAACACTACACACAAACTAACTAATAGCAGGTGCAGCTCATTCACTGATAAACCTTTAAGCAAATAACACAATCACTTTGCATTCAAATTGTTATCAAGATTTGCTACATACTTAGGCCTACATGTATCCTAGGCTATTCATTAGCATAATTCTTATGTAAGAGGGCATTAGGAGAGCATAAAAGAGAGCTTTAAGTATACAAACATATTTCAACAGGTAGGCTACGTGAGCCACATGTTCAATATGTTTCAAAAACACAACCAACAGCAGCTGAGTCAGTAACACAAAAGGGGGAAGAAGAAGAGAAACTAGCTGACACAGAGTCAGTCCTTAAAGGGATGTACTCATATTAAAGGGGTGGTTTGAGAGAAGGGGAGGGTGTTGTAGGCCAAATAAGGATGGAGAGAGGGCCTCACTTTTTTCAAATAAAATGACTCACCCATTTATTTTTGTACTGTCCCTAAATACGGCTCAGCAGCTCTCCTCTGTGTGGAAATTGAAACTGTGGTAATTCCTGGTCATCCACAGGTTACGACTCATCACCAGTGATGGTAAATGCAGCGTTATTACTCACAGTCTACCCAGTTTCATTGACCTGACCATGAGTAGTTTGCTGGATCGTCAGGATGCTGCCAAATGTCATGTCTCTGAATATTCACTAGATGGCCTTATTGAACCACCCACATCTGAAATTGAATATTCATACAGTATTGTCACTGATCAAATCCTGGAGGCCAATTGTTCAGGCACTGTTCATAATTGTTGTATTTTATATGCTGAGGTGATAATTTATGCTATGAATTTATAATTATGTCCCAAAAAAATCACCGGCAGGTTTTATTGAAAGGAGCCAGATTTATGATTTCCACTTTCAAGAAAAACTAATCAGCATTCACAAATTAGACTTAAATAAATATAAATATCTAATCATAATATAGGACAGGGGGGTATTAGGGTGAGTCTTCAATTCAAGAGGATGTTTAAGCTAAAATGTCCTCATTAACTCACCAGATGATAATCATGATAATTTGGGGTCACTCAGACAGGTTAGGGTTAGTCTTAATAAATGAAATTTTGGGTGGGCATAAGTATGAAATTTAGTAGAAGAAGTAATAGCAGGGCCATGAGAATGATATTAATATGTGTTATTAAAAGTGGCTAATGTTATAATTTCTTATTTTAATGCTTAATTAATAGGCTCCCAGACACATCTTTATAACTATTGAATGATTTACAAGACAACCAGCGTTTCTTTTTACTATTGTCTGTTAATTACTAATCAATCACACACATCCATGTTAAAGCATGCAACATTTTTTAATGGTTAAAAATGATCATTGTGTGAATTCTTCTCACAGATCACTGTGTCCAAAGCAGCAAAGAGTGCATCCACTCAAAGGTGTGTTCATGAGCCCAGAACATGCTACAGTGATACATTTTACATCAGTCCTATTATATACTATAATATATATACTACTCTATACACCTCTGGCCTTTATTTGTAGCATACATCACTTGTTTTTCCATTCATATTTACATTATTTCTACAATCTAACAAGTCCTAAATATAATATTCCGACAATTTGGAGCAAGACAACTAAAACCGAGGAGTTTTCCCCCTGCAGACCAAGCGCTTAACGAAATAACTTCTGGTAAATATTTCTGGTTCCCACAATGAGGGAAGTTCTGATGAAGAAAAACGAAACAACATAGAAACTCAACCGAGACAAAAAAAGGAACCAGCTGACTGGTTCAGGGGAGTGTGTTTGTGTGTTAACTATTAATTAACAAATGAATGCCAATAAACATCTGAGAAAGAATAACAATTCCTGGAGACAATGTGTATATCACAAACATCTCACTGCAATCCATTCAGAGCTCTGCGTCAGGCAATGTACTCCCATGATTATTCGCCTTTTAAGACAGTGTGAGAAAGGTGGGCACAGACACTCTGCAGGGACATATATAAGACAACAACAGCCTATACAACAGCCAGCAACAATAAACTGTATTAGTGTTTTCAGTCAGAATGTCTTGTGTGTTATTGAACCCGACTGGTGTGACATGAAAAGGACCCTAGCATTAGATCTGGAAGATATCTAAGTAAGATACAAATATTCTAGTCAGGAATAAACAAATGTTCAGGTCAGTCTTGATGCTCAGTTTAAGATGTCGAGTGAAGCTTCTTCTTTCTCACCTTGCTAAAATCACCAAATGATTAAAGACTTGAAACAAGATGGTCTCTACCTCAATTGATTGATTAACAAAGCATATGCAGAGCCATTATTTACCAGAAGGGAGACTCACTGCCAGTTAACAGGGGAAGTTTGCAAGGAAATGGGGGTTTCTGCTGTCAGTATATATAAGAGGAAACGCAATGACAGCCAACAAACGTCTATACTCCAGACGCTGGACACAGGAAACACAAAGGACACAAAGGAAATATAGGTTTTATTGAACTCTGAGGCTGTGTCTGAGAGGAAGTCTTTCTAACAGGTGTATATAAGACCAGCTTGCTGCTCTGTTGTGCAGGATGTCTCAAAGGAAGATGCTGCAATTCTCCATGGGAGCCCTGCTTCTCCTACCCTGGTTTGGTGGACTGGTCCTTGGAGAGATCAGCAACGACTTCTCGCAGTGCCTTGATGTCTTCTACAATAAAACTCCACCAATGGGTATCAATGCAGCAGGATACACACCAATATGCCAGCGCTTCAAAAACCAGTACCACTTTGCCAGCTTGTATCACCGTCAGCATCGTGCACCATTGTACTCTGCGTACATACTCAGTCCTGCAGATGGCAAACGGCCCAATAGCACTTGGATGTATGAACCACAGGTGAGTCGGAAAACAGTGTGTGCTGCTCAAGAGCAGCTTTTTTCTTTAAAGACTGGCAGGTGTTTCTTTATCATTCTTATTTTATCAACCCCATTTATTTCAATGAGGCTATGCTACCTATCTGAATAATGTAATACAATCCAAGAGCTTCACAAACTACAGTTTGAACAACAACTGAACATTATAACCTTCATGACTGCAGGCTTTATTAAAGGACTGTTTATTAGACTTAATTTTAGCTAAGTGTACCCTAAAAACTGGAAAATAACCATATCCTTGGTTATTTTTATTCTGCAAAAGAACATCACCTCCTTTGGTTCAGTAAATTCACTGGTGTTCATCTATCATAGCATTATTATAGAGTTAAGTGTGTCTAAATAACTTTCATACAGCACACAAAAATTCAGCATTTCCATTTAGACCTAATGGGAATTTGTGTTTAAAATGTAAGGACAATTTAAGGAAACAATGACAAGGAATTTCCTTGTTCAAAACAAAACCATTGAAGAACCACACTTGTTCAGAAAATAAGGTATTGGTTCAATTCAAAATCCATCTACAATGGGCAATCAATCGTATGCAGCCAAAACTTATCGCATTGGCAACAGCAATGACTCGGTCTCAATTAGTCCTGGTCTTGGTCTTGACTAAAGCACTACCATTTAGACAAACTAAACATACACTCATGTGACTATTCAACTCAGTCAGTATCAATGATCAATAAGCAGCAAAATACTCTGTTGTAGCTTCAGTGACATGTCCTTATCTCTCTCTTTCTGTTATTAAGTTGGCATTTTCCCGTGCTAGTTCAGAGATGAAACCCTTCCACACCTCCATGGACCAGAATGTGATTGAGAGCCAGGCAGTGCTGCAGGACTACAAGAACTCCAGCTACACCAAAGGCCATCTCAATCCCAGCATGCACCAGAAGACAAGAGAAGACCGTGAGGCCACCTTCACCCTGACAAACATTGTCCCTCAGCGAGCCGGCTCCAACTCCGGCCCCTGGAGCATTCTGGAGAATGAGGTGTTAAAAAAATTCAAGGCCTTCTGCAACGGGTTGATGTACGTGATCACTGGAGCCATTCCGTATGAATCTGAACCCCGTTGGATCAATAACAGGGTGTCTGTTCCTGAGTACATGTGGTCTGCCTACTGCTGCCCATCCTACAATACCAGCCTTCCTAAGCACCTGAAGCCCTTTTTTCCCACATATGCTGCAGTGGGAAGAAATGACCGCAACAGTGGAGAGGAAATTGTGCCGGTGAAGGTCAAGGCGAGGGCCTCGGTGAGGGGCTATGATGTGAGGCGGATGTCTTTAGAGACTCTCGAGGACATCCTGGCACAAAGGCTGGCTATGCCCATCAGTCTGTTTCATGGGCAGTGTCAGTAGCAAGGTTGAAAAGTTGTTATGAAGGTGCACTGAAGTAGTAGTCACCACATACAGCATATCTCCCTTGTGTCAGGCTAGTCTCAAGAAGTCTTTACCAGAGTTGGGACCCTCCCTAACTCTCTTTGATTACAGAATGAGTGTTTGATTAACTCAGTGATTTTGCTAATAAAACAAGACTGAAATGGATTAAGTCTTCTGATGAAACAAATCAAATCAAATGCCAATTATATTTTCAGAAATAAAATGTGCAGTTGGTTTAAACGTGGTTGCATAGAAATGTTCATTTTATTCAAAATCATAAATAAATACTTTGTGTTCACACAAATGCAAATGCCTCCAAATAAAATGGTTGCACATTTTGTCCTGATGTATGAAGCATTAAAAACCTGTGTGATGTGCAAGGGCAACCATTAGCTTTTAAGGCTATCTGTGGTGTGTTGAGAGAGACAAATAAAGATTAAATAAAGTTGAATTCATCCCACTATGTGTGCAGTTTTGTGTGAAAACTATATGGTTCTAGGTTGGAATATGCAACATTTAAAGGAGCAGTGTGTAGGATTTAGTGGCATCTGGTGGTTAAAGTTTCAGATTGCAGAACACTGCTTGCATCTGTATTTGACGAAGAATGAGAATGGCTATATAGTATATAGGAGAAACTCCAGTGGCTGTGAAAAATGCAAAAGGCCCTATCTACAGCCAGTGTTTGATTTGTGTTGTAACATGTTGAAACATGGTGGTTCAACATAGCGGACTCCACAGAATGCAACCCGTGGTGTCGTCTCATTCTAACGACAACATAACAATTCCTATATTCAGGTTATGGTACACTAATGAAAACATACCTATAAATACTATATTACATTTCTGCAAATAAATCCCCATAAATGTTACACTTTGGACCATAAAGGACAAAACTGAAAAAATAAGGTCTTGAAACTCAATAAATTATATGTTTTATTGGTAAATATATATATATATATATCAAATCAGCACAAATAAGTAGACAGTAAGCCTGGAGTTTTTGGGGCCTACTTGGCATGATCCAGCCTTTCTTCCTGAGGTCTATATAAGAAAACACAGTATAATCAATAAATGTTTACACTTATAAAGGCTAAACTATATATATATATATTTAACAGTCAATTACAATTGGCCATTGAAATAACACATACTCTTAAATGATTTGAACATCCACACTGCAAAGTAAGTTAAAGAATACTTTTGTTTTTTACAGCTGGTATTCCCCCTGCTTCTTTTCATATTTGCTGAATTTGGCCCCACAATATACACAGTGTGTCTCAAATCAATACATTGTTTTCATTGATGATGTTATTGATTTATACACCATATTGTTTATTTTGGTTTATTTTGAACAAATTGTGTTTGTTCAAGTATATCTCTTGAGCCAGTTCATGACGAAAATAAGTTGGGGGAGAGGAGCTGTAACATGTTTCCTGATCATGTGTTGGTTTGTGGGCTGATACTTACAACATCACACCAAGCTCAGAGGGTCAATAAGACAGTTTTCAGCAGAAGAGCTGCAGGGAGGTTTATAGTCAGCGTTTACACAGCTAATGATTTTTTCTTCTCTGCTTGGGAGAAAAGACCTTGGTAAGTTTGCCTCTGAGAGGATGCCTGGGGGGAATAAAAGAGTGGGTTCACGGTCTGCTAACAAGTGTCTCTTTCTCCAGCACAGATACAGCCAGGCTTCTGCTTAATACTGCAGGGTGTCACAAAGGAAGATGCTTCAATTCTCAACAGGAGCTCTGTTTCTTCTCCTACCCTGGTTTGGTGGACTGGTCCTTGGAGAGATCAGCAATGACTTCTCCCAGTGCCTTGATTTCTTCTACAATAAAACTCCACCAAAGGGTATCAATGCAGTAGGATACACACCAATATGCCAGCGCTTCAAAAACCGGTACCACTTTGCCAGCTTGTATCACCATGAACATCGTGCACCATTGTACTCTGCGTACATACTCAGTCCTGCAGATGGCAAACGGCCCAATAGCACTTGGATGTATGAACCACAGGTGAGTCGGAAAACAGTGTGTGCTGCTCAAGAGCAGCTATTTTCTTTAAAGACTGGCAGATGTTTCTTTATCATTCTTATTTTGTCAACCCCATTTATATCAATGAGGCTATGCTACCTATCTGAATAATGTAATACAATCCAAGAGCTTCAGAAACTACAGTTTGAACAACAACTGAACATTATAACCTTCATGACTGCAGGCTTTATTAAAGGACTGTTTTTTGTGTCACACATAATGTATTTGTATACTGCAGCAACAGATGAAGATTCTGCAACACTTTCTTTAGGTTCACTGCAAATTACTTCACATTTGTTCTTCTATCCGGGTGTTGTTGTAGCGTTAACTGTGTTAAGATACATACATGAGAATTCTGCATTTGCACATCGACCTACATGCAATAAATGTGGTGAGAGAGTGAGAGAACACTACTTCTTGACTTCCTCCCTCTTTGTGGTGAGTGTGTTATTTGCCCAAATGCAGTTTGTTTCCATTCACTTCAAGCTAAACTTATATGTATATATAACTAACTATATGTACTAGAAAAATGGTGTCACACACTTTCTCAGAGGAAATAAATAAACTTTTTCTCTCATTTCATTTTATTTCTTTTCCAACTAGATGACTAAATTAAACCTGTTTACACAGATTAAACTTAACAATAAGCAGCAATGTGCTCTCATGTAGTTTCTTCTTTCTCTGTTTTTAAGCTGGTGTCTCCCAATGCCACCCCAGTTATGCAGCCTTTCCCAGTCCCAAATCAAATCTACAGAGATGTGCAGAAGAGCCAGGCGGTGCTTCAGGACTACAAGAACTCCGGCTACACCAGGGGCCATCTCAATCCCAGCATGCACCAGAAGACAAAAGAAGACCGTGAGGCCACCTTCACCCTGACAAACATTGTCCCTCAGCGGAAAGGCTCCAATACTGGCACCTGGAATGGTCTGGAAGGGGAGGTGTTAAAAAGATTCAAGGATTTCTGTAAGGGGTCAATGTATGTGATCACAGGGGCCATGCCTTATAAATCTGGAGCACACAAGATCAAAAACAGGGTGTCTGTTCCCGAGTACATGTGGTCCGCCTACTGCTGCCCATCCTACAGTACCAGCCTTCCTCAGTCCATGAAGCCCCTTTTCCCTACATATGCTGTGGTAGGAAGAAATGACCGCAACAGTGGACAGGAGATTGTGCCGGTGGATCCCAACGTAAATCCCAATGTGCGAGGCTATGATGTGAGGCAGATGCCTTTAAAGACTCTGGAGGACATCCTGGCACAAAGGCTGGGTATGCCTGAAATCAGTCTCTTTAAAGGGAAGTGTCAGTAACAAAGGGTGACAAGCTCTTTGTTAGAATCAGTTAACTTACCTGCACACAATTCATCTATCAAAGTCAGTAGTCCCCCCCGCAACCCCAGTGTCTGATGAGACCCAAAGCCTTAAGGGACCAGTGTGTAGGATTTAGTGGCATTAATGAAGTTGCAGGTTATTATTAACTGATCACTGCTGGCATCAGTGTTTGAGGACTAAATGACAAATGAGAAGGGGCTGTAAAGAGTGTAGGAGAAACTACGGCAAAAAAAGCAAAAGGCCTCATCTGTAGCCAGTGTTTGGTTTGTTCGTTCTGGGCTACTATAGAAACATGGCGGTTCAACATGGCGTACTCCATGGAAGGTGGCTCAAACGTCTGTAGATAAAAATGTCTCATTCTAAGGCAACAAAAACATAACGATATTCAGGTGATTATACGCTAATGAAAACATACCTCTAAATATTATATTCCACTCCTGCAAATAGATCCCCTTAATGTTACACACTGGACCTTTAAAGAGACTCACTCGCTACCTAATAATTACAGACTCAATGTTTAATCAAAATATTATCTTGTCTCTGCTGATTTCTAATAAATATGATCTTGCAAAAGTTATATTTTATCTTATCAATGTTATCTTGTATGTTCACTCACCACATGCTTTTGCAATAAAGAAGACTGACTGGGTGAAGAGCCTTCTGATGAAATATTTATTTCTTAATGATATGACCAAAACACAAACACACAAAATACCAAGCTGTCAATTATATTGTCAGAAACAAACAAGGGCAGCAACTTTAACTTTGAATTCTTGATAAAAAGACAAAAGTGTACAATTTATTGATAATCATAAATAAGCACAAGCTTTGTGAGAACGCCTCAAATGAAAATGACTGGACGTCTGAGATAGATTTTTTATTTCTCTTCCTGTAGAGAAACGTCATGTACAACTGACTTCCTGTCCACTTTGTACATTTGCCTTCTTCATTTACTTATTTATTTACAAGTAAGAAAGGCAACCCCAGATGACAGAGGATAAAATTAGCATCTACCAGTCACATTCATCACCTAAATTCTACAACATTCGATTGAAAACCTGCTTTTTCTTTCCAGTTCTATCAGAGATTTGTAGGAGAGGCTCTAAAAACACTGGTGGTTTTTCAGTTGCTCCACATCGCTAAAGCCACTTCCACAGTTGGAGCACTGGAGTGTTGCCTTTTCACTGTTGTGTATGAGCTGGTGTCTTTTTAAGTACTCCACGCGACTGAACCGTTTTCCACACGCCTCACACCCATATGGACGTTCCCCCGTGTGAATCCGCTGGTGCCGCTCCAAATTGCCCAGACGACTGAAGGTGCGTCCACATTGAGGGCACCGGTGCGGTCTCTCGCCCGTGTGCACCAGATGATGCCGTTCCAGTGAGCGTGAGTGTGTGAAGCGCTTCCCGCAGATCTCGCAGCAGTGCGGCCGCTCAGCGGCACAGGCACACTCATGGTTCTTAAGTGCCCAGGCGTGGCTGAACGTGTTGCCACAGTGGGCACAGGGGAAGAGACTGTCCTCTGCTCCACTGCTCTGTAACTGAGAGCCTCCTAGTGGACAGGGGTGCTCCTCCAGCTCAGCCTCTGAGGTGAAGCCTCCTCCACACTGTGGGCAGAAGTGAAGCAAATCTCCGCTACCCTCCTCTTCCCCTCCGCTCTCCCCGGCACTCCCTGAAGCAGACAGGTGGGGCAGGTGCTCCGACTCTCCCAGCTCCACCACATCCTCGTCAGTCATGACTGCAGCCGAGTCGCCCTCTCTTAACTTCTTGGACCAGCCTAACCTCAGCTCGACTCCGGCCCTCACCCCATCCTTTGACCTGCCTTGCCCTATCTGCTCCTCTCTCTGCAGGGTGGGTGGCTGAGGATCCAGCTCTTCGTCCTGCTCCATTCCATCAAGGCCAATGTACTTGGGGGCCAGGGTGATCTTGCCGCCTTGCACTACCTCAGATTCTGGGCTGACAGGCTGAGAAGCCGTCATGGCAGCCTGCTCGCGTCCTCTCTCAGCCCTCAGTGCAGACTCCAGACCCCTCAGCTCATCCATGGTCATGCCACCCTCTGATGGCTCTGCTGAGTCCACCTCCCAGTCCTCCTCCTCTCTCTCTCCTGGATGAAGGCTTGGGGGATGATCCGACAGGTCTCCTGAGTAGAGACAAGGGAGGAGGAGAGATGTGGAGGAGGAGAGATGTGGAGGAGAGAGAGAGAGCTGACGTGAGCAATCATTTCCTATTTCTTTCAAACTATTGGTCTCTGAACATTTCACTGTTCCCCTCCCTCAACCAGTGTGACCTGGGCTTATTACCTTCGCTTTGGGCTCTGGAGCCAGTGTGGAGGTTCTTTTTGGGCGGGTCCATCTTCAAAGCCTCCTTGATTAGCCGGAGAGAGGCGGGTTGATAGCCCTCTGTTTGAGTAAACTGTATTGAGAAGCACAGGGAGTTATAGGATAAACAACTCAAACCAGGTAGAATATGCAATTAAACTCACATGCAATGCTCATCATAGCCATTCATAACGACCCACTAAATTCACGTTTACAATGCGCCTTAGAATAAAGCTATATGATTGGTTACATTTCTTTAAAGCCACTTTATTAGCCATAAAAAACACCCTGAAGATACTAGGCAGGGAGGATAATTACACATCCTGCACGCTTTGAATATTCAAAACCAGAGAAGAGAAGTGAAGAGTGGATCTGTGCCCTGCCACTTGGTCATGTGGTGGAATAGCAAACAGCTTTTCACCTCTACCTCTAGTATTTCTACCTAAAAGCTTGCTGCACTTGAGATTTGGAGAGCCCTACTCAACGGGCTCCTCTGGAAGCTAAATATCAAATCAATAGCCTTCCCTTTATCCACTACATCACTGCAGTGATTTGATGGCTGAAAAACACAAGCAAAACTCTCTCTGTCTCTCTGTATCAGCTCACTCTTTCTCTGTCTGCGTTCTTTTTCATTCAATATGAAGCCGCTGAGCAGTGCAGAGATGCTGTGCCACTTTCTCCTCCTACTCCTCCTCCTTTGAGAAAGCCCGTCTCCCTCACCTCCTCTTTGATGTTGGCCGTCTCCTCCCCCTCAACGCTGAGGCTGCCCTCCCCTTCCTGGTCTTCCACCATCCCTCCCTCATCCTCTTCATCCCCAGGGAACTGGATGAGGTACATCTCCCTGGCCTCCTTCCCCCCTCTTCCTCCTGCTCCTGCTACCATCCCCACAGCTCCTCCACTTCCTCCTCCTCCCCCAACACCACCGCTGCCGCCGCTGCCACCGCTGCCACCGCCACCACCTCCTCCTTCCTCCCACACACCTCCAGGCCAGCCTTTGCCATAGGCTGCTGCGGGGCCCTTCTTTGACTTGCCTCCTGTGGAGAAGAGAGGAAGAGGAAGACGAAGGAAGGGTGGGAGGGAGGTGAGAGAGGAAGGAGAAAGTGCGGAGGGGGTGGGAGAGAGGGAGTGCATGGGGATACAGGAAGGAGAGGGAATGAAATATGAGGGGGAGAGAGATAAGTGGGAGGAGATGATTGGGAGGTCAGGAGAGAGAGAGAGAGAGAGAGAGGAGAAGAGAGAGAGAGAG